AAAAAGATGGCCTGAGGGCATCACAAGAAGCAGCAAGTCTCCACCCTTTGCAGCCTCAAAACTGCTAAGGTGAAAGACCTTGCCTTGAGAAGAAAGCTGCTGAGCACCATGTTCCAGAATGGCAGTGGCGGCCACACCAGATTCCAGAATGGCGGCAACATAGAGGATTTGTTCCTCAGAAATGGATTCAGAGTGCCCAGAGATCCAGGCACTCGACCCCTGTGGCCAAGAGAGAGGAAAACTTGGCTACTGCTACAGGTGGCAGCAGACCTTGGCATCATCCCCATGGCCCTGGCTCTAGGTGCATGGTGAATGCAAGAGTTCTGAGGTTGAAGAGGCTTCCACCCAGATTTCAGAAGGCCTGGGAGGCCAGGCAGTGTGCCCCTAAGAGGGCAGTATGTGAGGCTGTGAGTGTGAAGCAAAAGGGGCACTGAAAACCTCAGAAGTTTAGAAAAGCCAGGACCGTGGATCATCTAAGGAAAGCTGCAAGGAAGGAGTAAAGCAGGCCTAAGAGAGAAGCCGTGGAAGCTGTAACCACCAGAAGTGCCATAGGGGTGGACTCATGCAAACCCTTTGGAGCACACAATGTGCCACAGATTGCTTCAGATACTGGTCATGGAACTACAGGACATAACATTAGCCCTGCTGGATTTTGGACTTGCTTTGGTCCCAGTGCTGTGTCCCCCTGTTTGTACCTTTTGGAATGGTACTGCTTATTTTGTGCCACTGAATATTAGAAGTGTTTAACTTTCATTTGTACAGGGGCTCACAGCTAAGAGTTTGCCTTACATCTTGGAGGAGACTTGGGACTTGGACTCTTCAGCAGTGCTGAAACTGTTAGGACTTTGGGAACTCTTGCAGATGGACTAAATGCTGTTTGTATAAAGGGATGGACATGAGTCTTTGGGGGACCAGGGGTGGAATGTTATGGTTTGTGTCTGGGGGTCCCCCCAAAGCCTCATGTGGTCATGAAGTGGGCTTTTAGAGTTTGATTGATTATGGGTGTGAGAGCTACACCCACGCTGGGGTGG